TATGACCATACAATTGAAAACATTAACTGTCAGCCACTCGAAGTTTAATTTCTAAATAGATATTTTTAGTACCAATAACAAATCAGCCAACGCCTAGCGATAGACAACTTCTAGACCATTTTATATCTCTTAGGAACGTTAAAAGGCTATAACCATAAAAGTGATACACTTCTTGAAAGGGTGTGGTTTACAGAACAATTTAGAGTATGAAATTCAAAGAAATAATATGTTTGTTTTATTTAACAGTATACATATTTAGGTCAATAGCTTAAATAGTAATGGCTTATATAAACTAGGTACGATTCATAAAATATTATAGTCTTGCTATTTTGACAATACAAAACTAGTCCTTCAAACGTATACCTTAACAACGGCCCTTTAATGTGTCCAAAAACCTGAATTATTTGTAAAAAAGGAAATTTCCTTGTGACATTTAGTGCCTGTTTTCTCCCTCTATCTGCACGATGCTGCCTGCATAGTGGAAGCAAAATACACGACTCCGTACTATCAGCATTTGAATGCAGCAAGTTACACTGGCCGAAAATGAAACTCAGATCAAAGAATAAATAAACATTATATCAAAAAAAGAAAAAAATACTCTTTTAAGGTCGTCGGTCGCTCAATGATAATGCAAACGTTGAAACAAAACATCGGAGCTGACAAAACCGGTTATCCTAATTACGAAGAGCGCAGATTATAAATTAAAGCCGTCGACAAGTAATTAAAATGAATAAAAGCGACTACTAAGGAAACCATTAGTTATGGTGGCTAGCTTCTATGACAAAGGCCAAAGTTTTTGTTCAACCAGACACTAATGAAATAGCCGTAGTAATGTAAAATACTGCGCAGTAAGCCATAGTCTGGAAATTGCGTTAAACACAATATGTGGGAAACCCCGCAAATGTTATATACTACAAGTTATTAGAGTACGTTTTTATATGAATTCAACAATAATATTTTAAATTACGTTTACTTTTGACTTTAAAATCTTGTTTGGATACGTATTTAAAAACAAAATAAGATTTTGCGACTATTAAATATCGACTTGAGATCAATACTTCGGGTACGTAAACTTTCTGAAAATAGAATATCAGCCTACGTTACTTTACGTACGGTTCAAGTGATCAGAAACTTACTCTTAAGACAGCCGAAAACTGCTAGAGTGCGAGTAAATATTGATTTGGTAATGCCACCATAAGTGAGTCAGACGTGAGGGCTGCAGCTGGCTACACAGCTTCCTGTATATGAATGTTAACTTGATTAAGCAATTAGACTGACCATAAGGAAGCATTAAAATACCAATAGTATGACGAATCTTGGTTCGGATATAAGCTAGCCTACGCGCTTATGTTTGCTCGACTGGTAAAAGAGTAGCTACTCTAATTCCAGACGTGCCAAATATCATGTATACTACGGGTAGTTTATTATGCGAAGTTTTATTTTCCTGTATTTATAAATAGGGGCAAAGAAAAAGCTACAACTTAAACTTGATATTAAGTATATAAGGAAAATCGAAAAATGTCGTTTATAAAACCACTTATGTTATGTTTTATTTAACGTAAGATCTTATACGTACTTGAATTATTAAAAACCTTATTCTATCTGTTTTGAGTAATTTATTGAAGAACAACATTCGAAATTACATTTAACATAAGAAGAAATCAGAAAAAGCTAATTAAATATTATTTATATTGAGGAAAGTAGTTAATTACTTTTTAATGTCACATTGTAAACAAACATTATTTACAATTTAAAATAGTAATTGCAGAGTGATTTAGTGTCATTGCAAAGAAAATATTTTAAAACACATTAGCCGTCCGGCCGACGCATCCGTTAATTAGGATAATTAGCTTGCCTAGTTTCCATCTGCAGTGTGAAAGTGCCGCAATAAAGAAACTAAGTAGAGAATAACACAATAAAGAAACTCTTGTAGTACTACTAGTATGGTCAGGAAAAACATTCGCTATACACAACGAAAGCGACTAATATTTATATACGCGTTCAAAGTAAAAACATGTCCTAAAACAAACGCTTCGAATTTCCTGAAGTGTCTGCATTTGGTTGAAAAATCAAAGGCGCAAATGATTACAAAATCTCTCCAGTCTATACAGCTAGCAAAAAAATCTACACACAGTCTACTCACAACCTTCCTATCTTAAGGACGACAAAATCTTTGTTTACACAGTTGGTATGTTTAGAAAAAACATTTTCGCATCAGAAGACAGGGTCCCAAGTCTTTCCGGCGTACACTTTTACTTTCGCCAGCGTCCATTCACCTGAGCGGCCGAGGAGTGTCCCAGATACGAACAGCTCGTATTTACTTGAACCTTCGACATGCCGTCATGGCCCAGATTGTACGGAATGCGATGCGAATTAACACGACGTTACGACTACGTCTTTGATCAAATTGAATACTTCGGTTATTAAGTTAAAACATATAATTATTGAAGGCTGTAAAACAATTGTTTATTACTTTACCTTACTTAAATAAGCCTACAGATTTTTAAATAAAGCATTAAGTAACAATTCTTACAAAAAGTACTCAATCAACATAGTTCCTTTTAAAAGTATAGCTATTTCTAGTATTTTATGAAATGTTAATCATTCTGTATTGAAGATAGCACAAATTTTGTGTAATATATAATTCAAAGTTTAAATGAAATAATCACCCAGCTCAAATATGCAGCTAAAATGATAAGGATATTTAATAAAATATCCATATTTGTAAATAAAATAGTTGTTAATTATGAAATTAACCAACAATAATTATCGTAACAAAATTAACTGACTACTGTGTAACAAATAAAACCATTAGCTTTGTAAACAGTCCCTTTTCATGAAATTATAAAATATATGGTATAAAAGCGCGTTGTATGATTAAGGGCCCAAGCAAACTACTTTGTTGATGGTTTTTTTTCGAAGATAAAGTGGAAAAATGCAGCAGGAAAACTTAGTAATCATAAACATCTCTAGATATTTTTAACACAAGAGGAACTAGAAATGCATTATGAACCTTTTTGAAATACTCCTCTTGAAACAACCTAAGTCGTACCACTTTGAAAACACCGTTGTGGTCTTGACTTTGTCAACTTTGAAACATATTTATAACTATTCAATAGTTTTCTAAACACTCAACATTATAATTAAATTAAATGAACAATATGAAATTGATTTTAATGATAGAAAAACAGGTTGGGGAATGCTACAATAAACCATATAACCAACCAATAAGCCATAAAAAAATTACATTGAATACCGCAAGACCATTGATTAAAGTTAGCAATAAAAATTCCTTGGCTTTTAACTAATTATGATGATTGACAAACAGTGGCAATGGAAGCAATTATTATGAACTTTGAGCTCATAAAATATGTTTTAATTGAAATGTTTTGATCTCAAGAGTGAGTCTCAGAATAAATAGAAAGTTGAATTGCTATTTGAAACAAATACACGAATTATTCTCCTTAAATTTTTCATAGAATGATTACAAAAATCTTATTAATAAACTATGCAAATAGTAAAAGAAGTCTTATACTCGCGTTAATGCAAGTCTAGATCTGTTATTTAGTGTTTATGTATGATTTTCAAGGTTGTTTACGTGTAAATTTTGTGTAGCAAATAGACACGTGAATATCTTTTTATCTTCTCCTAAGTTTATCTAGTAACAAATTACAAGTTGGACGTCGTATTAGGAGTGAAAAAAAACAATTATTTACATACAAACATTATAGTAAGTAGCATACCTGAAATCCAGGCTGAGGTTCCGTTGATGCGTCGCGATCTTGGGACTCCTAAGATCGCTCCGGCTCCCGTGGACAGGAACATCTTCCAACATGCTCACGCACTAATTAAACACCACAAAAGTACACCCATAACAGGATTCGTGTTGAATCAACTAAATGACAACATGGCGCCGATACGGTGCATCAAGATACATTATCCTAGTTTTACCAAATCGTAATAATAAACCACGGATACTAATTTGTTTTGTTTTGATATACGCTAACGATCTGTATATTCACAGCCCTTAAAGACTTAAACTTGAACAAATTAATTTTTAACAAATTTACTAAGTTCTACTTTACAGAATTTAGTGAAATTAATATTAAATTGAAACAAAAACTGTACATTAGTATGCAATGAAACTTTTCAAATATAGGATTACTGAACGCGAAGTAAAAATAATTAAAATCCAAATTAAAGAAATCGATGAATGTCTGTCCGAGACGACATCGTATATTTTTTATTTTGTTGTCTGTCAGTAAGCCTGAAGTCACGCACAGCCACAGCGCAGCGATATTTCTACTAAGAACACAGAGTACTTAATATTTCGTCCAACTTTAGTACAAAATTATTCCTACTTTGGTAGAAATATGAAACAGTATTGCAAAGTGTTAAAACGTATGTAACAAAACAAATAAAGAAATCAAAAAACTACAAGGAGTAAAAAGAATAATTTTTAAGGAACGAATCTCAAGAAAACGTGTTGCCAGTTTTCGTTCTTCATTATTTTATAAATTTTCCTTGATTGTCATTATGCAGCAAAACACTGATAACATATTCAAAGCACGAAATCTAAACATATCTTAAGCGATAACTAAACTGCTAAACCTCAATAAATAATTGGATTGAGGAATTCCTCTCTAAAAGGGTATTAACAGACGTCCTGCGACACAAAGGTCTAAGAGGCAGTCAGTTTCACTATTATTTCACATTTTAGTAAGATATTCATCAAATCAGTTGACGAAAAGTGATTTTTTTTAAATAGTAGATTTTTGTGTAAATTTACTAATATTTCTTTAACCAGTCCAAATAAGCTCTATGCTTGTGCTAGGATATGGTTTACGACAATAGTCGAATGGCGGGATTCGAACCGCCGGCCTCGTGATCGGAAATCCGTACCCTTAACCATTAGGCTATTGACGCTTATATAAATATAAAGTTTGATCATTTCAGGATCATTCAGGGCGTTAGACTGCTGTCATTAAAATATTGCCATGTAAAAGTTTAAAGTTTTTACTGTTGTCTAATAATCTATTGAAGATATCGTGGTTACAGTTGTACATTATATTATAATAACACATTATTAGGGAGTTTTAGAACAAAACGTCTAATTTGTATAATTTTAAAATTGAGACATCTGGTTAGACGCCACTTTGCTAACCTCAACAATAAGTTTTTAATTTAAATGAAAAGTTTTTTAGGGTCTTTATTGAATACAATTATTATGGAATAAAAAAATAAAGACATGTTGTAACTAAACAAGAAATAAATAAAAAATCTCAAATACAACTTCACATTTTTGAAATAACATCACATTATGATTTAGCGGGTTCTTGGGACTGCCTTGACATCTGCCTTTTATGTACATTGGATTTCCGAAGTCTATGATAGTTTGGCATCACTTTGCCTAGAAAGTCAAGTTGGAGTAGTTGAGATGGTTGTTTCTCTAATGCTTCCCTGTTATTGTGCTCCGAACCCCAGATAACTGTATTATCTGGTAGAGTTTGTGGTGTGGTTAAGCTACAAGCTGCACCTATAAATATAGAAGCATTATTAATGATCAATGAAAGAAAAAAATGCATTATTTAATTTATTTCATGAATATTTCTAAAATAAAACAATTAATGTTTAAATACTATTCAAACATTTTCACAGCTCTGCCCATCGGATGAAAAGTTTTGCGGCTTTGTATCTGGCAAGAGATTCAACTGCGCATGACAGTTGTGTATAGAGGAAATGGTGTTACTCTTGATACGGATGACTAGACAGTAAGACGGATGTATGTAAAATAAAGGATGTTAACATATGTCTTTAAGGTTGTAACTCTTATGAGATCTCTTGAAATGTATCTCTTTTCACCAGATTGGTAGAAATCCCCCAGTAAATAGTTTCATTTTAGTTATTTCATGTACAAATTACTTAAAATACCTATAACACATCCACTGCCAATTTTAACATCAGTACCAACAAATGACTTGCATTCAAAAACATTGCTCTCTCCAATGTGACCACATAAGGACTCAAGTCTGCATCCCACTTCGAAAACATTATGTGCACCTATGAAAAGAGGCTTTGGAGGATTTTCTGGTTGCTCATTTTTCCTGGAATTCAAATGTTATTTTCAAATTCAAGTAAGTTGAAATGAGTTTACATTTAATTTAAAAATTGGAAGATATTATATAAAGCTTTTGAAAATATATTACTTGTGAATAATCGTAGAATACTCTTCAATTATACAATACTCAGCTATTATTATAGGTCCACCTTCAGCAATAATGGTCACCCTGGGGTGAATTACAGTTCCTCCGCCTATGGTTATGTCTCCTTCTAATGTACAGTCCTCGCAAACAGTAGCACCAGGCAAAATTTTAATACTGTAACGATAATGAGTCATATCAAATCTGTTATTGTTTATAGAAAGCGAGTTTTGAGTTTTATTAAAATACATACTTATGTGACATTTCAGTATTAGATGTAAAGACGCAGTGTGAAAAATTTATTTAAATATTAATGGAATGTTTTATTAATAATTACAGAACTGACATATACATTTGAATATTAAAATTAATTTGTAACTTTTACAGAAATGGAAACTGACAATAGATTGACATTGACACTGACATGGCAAACGCAGTTGATGTGTCAAAAAAGTCACTTTCCGAAAATATAAACGAAATGGTTAAAAGGTAGGTATGAAAGAGTTAAATTATTATGGAAAAAGTCTTTCTTCATAACATTTTGGCTTTGTCTTTTTATAACTTACTTTTTAAAATATATCCCAAATTAAAAATAAAAATCAATTTTTTTTAAAAGTCCTTGAAAAGCTAACTTCAGTATTTTACATTAAAAACAAAGAGTATATAAAATAAGAGACGGGACTCTAGACTAATTAGATACACAAACGGAGAATAAAAATTGTCATTTTCAATGCTAGCAATATTATGAACAAATCTACGTTGCTACCAACCAAAAAAAATCAATGTGTCAGTTTCCTTTTTGACGTATGGGTTTTCTTAGGTTTAAGATATACCCATGAACGTAAATATCAATGACGTAGAGCAACAATAATAAAACGCATATGTTACTACGCACGAAATATATTAAATTAAAGGGGCACGGTATTACAATTAATTCACTCTCAGTATTTTTGTATGCGACGTATCGTGTACGCGCCCTGTCTATCTGGCGAGAAAACGTGGGAGCCAATCTCAGTTCGAGATTTAGCTCCCAGGCTTTTGCGCCACACCACCCCCCCACGGAGAAGGTAAACCCCTTAATAGGGAGTTTTAGGTCGATAAAATGCTGTAAACAGGCACCCACATGGGTTGACGAAGCATCCGTAAACAGACCGAGTTTTGCGTTGGGTACAGGATGAGCTAGAGTCGTTGCTTCAGCCAGATGATCCTTACATCGCTGAAATGCAAGTTCGCGTTCTGGCGTCCAAGGTACCGGTTTAGGTCCTTTCAGTTGCGATGTAGCGAGGACATCGTGCAAAGGAGCCTGCAGTTCTGCTGCGTTTGGGAGAAAACGACGATAAAAATTTACCATGCCCAAAAATCTGCGTAGACCTTCAATAGTTTTGGGCAAAGGGAACTCTCGCAGTGCTGATAATCTCTCCGGAGGTGGCCGAGTACCATCTTTGGTAATCTGATATCCTAAGAAGGTAACCTCTTCGGCGCCAAATGTGCATTTAGTTAAATTGATAACTACACCATACTTAAATAACCGCTGAAAAAGCATACGCAGGTGGTCGGCGTGCTCGTCGGCAGAGTGAGAAAATATCAAAATGTCGTCGACATAAGGATAACAAATCCAGGCCTGTGACCACCTCGGCTATAAACCGCTGGAACGTTTGTCCTGCATTTCGTAGGCCGAACGTCATGTAAGGAAATTCGTAGAGACCAAAAGGTGTAGTTATAGCTGTTTTGCAGATGTCTGCTTCGTGTACAGGAATTTGTTGATAGGCCTTCACTAAGTCGACTACGCTAAATATTGTGCACACGGCAAGATTGTAAGTGCAATCTGCGATGTGGCGCACCGGATAGCAGACAGGGATTGTCCTGGCATTAAGCGCACGATAATCGCCACAAGGACGCCAGCCATTTTCACCCTTACGAGCCATGTGCAGAGGCGAAAACCAAGAACTACTCGATTGCCGAGCAGAGCCGCATTTGACCATGTCCTCGAACTCTTTCTTTGCCGCAGACAATTTCTGAGGGGCTAAACGGCGAGGACGACATGAAACAGGTGAGCCATCGGTCGTGGAAATGAAATGTTTGGTCTCATGTTTAATAGTTCTGTTAATTCCTGGTGGCTTTGTTATATCGACGAATTCGTTGAGAATTTTGTCCTATTGTGAATCGCCAGCCAAAATGGTTTTGACGCTGAGTTGGTTCACCTGAGCTGCCGTAGCCGTTGCAAGTAGTTTTGTGGTGCCGTCAATCAAACACAAGTTGCGGCAGTCGGGTAACAAGTGGTAATGCGCCAAGAAATCAGAACCAATTATTGCTGTTCCGACATCTGCTATGATAAAATTCCATCTAAAATCACGGCGCAAGCCTAGGCTAAGTGTTAGGGTAATGTGGCCGTACGTTTTAATAGTGCTTCCATTCGCAGCTCGAAGTTCAAAATTAGAATGGCTATATTTGCCCTTAAGAAAACTACGTGGGAAATAACAGAGATCGGGACCAGTGTCGATCAAAAACCTATGGCCTGTTCCAGTTTTGTTATAGTCAGTAGTCGCCTCTACTGACTGCTTCTGAAGTTTTCCTTGTTATCAGATGACCAGGAACATGGGCTAACGCATTTTCTAGCCTTACCAGCAAACTTTTTGTGATACCAGCACAAACGCGTGCCAGAACGAGATGATGACATTGACCTTGACTTCGAGCACGAGGCAGAACGAGTTATTCGTGTGTTGTTTCTACTGAGTGCATCAACCTTCCTACTTAACTCATCGATGCGGTGCATAAGCGTTTCCAAATTTTGTGGAGATAATGTTCTCGTTTCATTGATTGCGGCTGGAGTGTGAGGTAATGTGTCCATGATATTGTCGGCAATTTCGGCTAATTTCTCTAAAGGTAAGTCTTCTTGTGCTATTAAAATTCTTTGAATCTCACCTGGCAGGTGGCGGATCCATAGCTCGCGTATTATGTCCTCATCGCCCTTGGGACCAGCCAAGTTTCGCAGGTGGCGAAGGAAAGCAGTCGGCTTTCGATCTCCTCGCTGTTCTTCGCTCAACAATTGTCGAGTACGCTGCTTTTTCGACGTGGAAAAACGCTTAATGAGTTCTGCTTTTAAATGCTGATATTTATCCTTGGTTGGATTGGATAAAATGTCCTCCACCTCGTCAGCAAGATGAGCATCAAATTTTGAAAGTACATGCCCATATAGAAGACTTATATCGTACATGGAGAAACACAACTTCCTAGCAAATAATCAATTTGGGTTTAGGACAAGTCGATCAACGAATGATGCTGTACTCCAAATTACTCGGAAAATTACAGACCATTTAGAAAATGGAGAAAAATGTATAGGTGTCTTTCTTGACCTACAGAAAGCTTTTGACACTGTTTCTGTGAAGGTCCTCCTAACAAAGTTAGAAAACTATGGAATAAGAGGAACAGTCTTGTCATGGTTCAGTGACTATCTGACAAACAGAAAACAGAAAGTAAGAGTTGGATCTGTGACCAGTGACTTCGCTAGTGCTTCTTATGGTATCCCGTAAGGCAGTACGCTTGGGCCTACTCTGTTCCTAATTTATATAAATGATTTATGTAAAATGAGCCTTCAAAAAGCAGACTTACTAATGTTTGCAGATGACACCGTCATTCTGTTCCACGAAAATTCATGGGAAACACTAAAGGATACTGCAGAAAAGGGCCTGGCTACTGTTACAAGGTGGCTAGAAAATAACTTACTCACTCTCAACATCACCAAAACTAAATACGTCTCGTTTTATAAAACATCGCGATCTAAACCGCCAAATAATTTTTCTATAACAATACACGAAGCCCCTTGTAACAGGCAGCCATCACATAGGCAGAATTGTATATGCTCAATAATTGAACGCACGAATACATTCAAGTATCTTGGTGTCACGCTTGATGAAAATCTCAACTGGAAACACCATGTAAATACAGTGGCTAAGCGGATCAGAAAACTTATTTTCATATTTAGAAAACTACGAGCGGTTGCTGATTATGTCCTACTAACTAAAACATACAAAGCTCTCTGTGAGTGTTTAATTAACTACTGCATATGTTCTTGGGGTGGAGCTTCCAAAACTTGTATCTTAGAAGCAGAACGTGCCCAACGTGCTCTTTTAAAAGTGATGTTTAGGTTGTCTTTCAAACATCCCACCGACGAACTTTATAACAAACATAATATTTTGAGTATTCGTAAAACTTTCATATTTGAATGCGTCAAGGCCCTTCATAAAAATAAAGATAGTAATACAACTACAAATAGTAAGAGAATTCATAGATTTAATTTACCTACTGTTAAAAGTACATTTGCCACAAAACATTTTAAATTCCTTGCACCCTACTTATATAATATTTTAGATAAAAAGTCCAATATAAAAAACCTGAAAGCGTATAATTTAAGAAAAATTACAAAGGAATGGCTGATGGAGTTAGATTATAACACATGTGAAAATTTATTTCAACGTAATAACTAAGTCATCACATCCATATGCACTTATAATTATACACACACACACACACACACACACACAAACAAACACACACACACACACACACACACACACAAACAAACGCACACACACCTACACACACACACACCTACACACACACACACTATAATTATTAATTCATAAATTAGTTGTTTTTTTCCACAAACAATTATTAAATTTATATATATGGGAAGTCCTTTTCTCCTTAAGTACAGGTCTTCCTAGTTAAGGAGTCAAGGCAACATTGAATTTGAATTTCTTGTGTATAACAATAAAGATTTTTTCATTTTTTCATTTTTTTCATATTTAGTTGAATCTTGTGTAATACCCGCTATTTCGAATTGTGCCTCCGCTTGTGTGAACCATATTCTTGGGTTGTCACGCGAAAATTCGGATAATTTAACTGACACTCCCATAACCTGCGCGTCTGGATTCGTTAATTTAGCTATTTGTTTGTTTGTTGTGAACAAAATAAATTATTATTCAATTAAATCAAAACAATAAAGTGAAAATTTAAATTTGTAAAATTAAACTGAAATACAATTCAATTAAAATTAAATCAATGAAAAGAAAATTTAAATTAATAGCACAAAAAAATAGTCACAATTAGAACTTATAGTAACATACATATAACACACGTGAATTACAAGTGAGAACACATAGGTACTCTTTTTAAATAAACACAAATGTTTTATACATAACATAAAAACTATTAAAATATTTACACTATATTGAATATACTAATGATAAACTTTGTTCTTAAATTTTTATATTACACATTACTATGATAAGTGTGATACGTTTACGTTATACGTTTATTTGTTTCTGTAAACAACACAACACACACATTGTTTTGTAAGAATGGAAAGTTTGCGAAGGAAAGTATTTTTGGGCTTAGCTGTAGGAACCGGCGGCGCAGGCGATGATGCAATTGCAGGGCACCCGTGACGCCACGGGCAGGCTGTTGGCGGGAAACAGACGGGCAGCAGGCAGGAGGCACGGAGCTCGCTGGTCACCAGCAGAAACGGTCAAAGGTGCTTCTAGCAGGCCTCGACCACCAGTGGGGTGACATACATTCAGCCGACGAATCGTCACAGTAAAATTTTCACGCACTCGTAAAGTTTCTCGGGGTCACCGATATGGGTTTTCTTAGTTAGGTTTAAGATGAACGTAAATGTCAATGACGTAAAGCAACAATAATAAAACGCATATTTTACTACGCACGAAATATATTAAATTAAAGGGGCACGGTATTACAATTAATTCACTCTCAGTATTTTTGTATGCGACGTATCGTGTTCGCGCCCTGTCTATCTGGCGAGAAAACGCGGGAGCCAATCTCAGTTCGAGATTTAGCTCCCAAGCTTTTGCGCCACAGACGTTTGTAAGTATTATTCGAGGGAAAACAATTTAGGAACGATAAAACCATTTCGTTAATTGCAACTTTAATTTAATCTTCTGACTAAAGCGAACGTATTTTAAGAACGCAACATAATGCTCACTGCTTTCGTAATAATACCATTATGGTTTAGCTCACCAACAAAATACCCCAACTTTGATAAATGCTTAGTTGTTCCAGTTTGTTTATTTGATCGGTCATATTTTCTGATAGAACTGGAGTAGTAGTGTCACTCTCGTCGGGAGAAATAGAATAACACTGGAAAGAGATTAGCTCCTATCTGTTGGTAAAATATTTAGAAAATTGCTAACAAGACAATATGCATTGAAGCAAAACAAATCGTCATCATCAAGCTCACTATACATACGGACACACTATACTCCACTGAGGAGCTCGGAGCCTACCCTCAGGAATGCGACTAGGTCTTATTCAACAACGCAGAGCCAGTGAGGGTTGGTTGGCTTCACACATATCTTTGAATGTCTATGCAGTTGTATGCAATTACAGTAAGAATGTCGGATGGATGTTATGAAGAAATTCGAAGAACGCATTATTATATAGCGGAGATCGTACCTGGATATGTAAAATATGATCCGGTCAAGCGCCAACTGCACTGCCGACGCTCCAAATAGTCCCCTAATCCAAACTTTTCCTGTCAAAACATTGCAAATGTACAAGTCATGTTAAATATTATATAATGTAAAAATAGAATACAATATTTAAGTGTTACTTCTCAAATAAATTCATAAAATTGTCATGAACCTAAAGATTCCGCATATTAACTCTTGTTATTACTATTCTCCATAGATGTTTAACCTATAGATTCCTTAACGAGGAAAATAATGAGCTTAGGAGGCATCATTTTGGGGTAAGGTACCTGTGTTGAAATTAAAATTACTTGTAAGAAAATTGTATACAATCTCTGTTTATTTTTTATTACTTAGTTCAAAAAAAGTTTAAGATATATTATAAGTTGTGATATTTGTAAAATCCAAATTTAATAAATTAATTTTGTTTCATATTTTTCACTAAATGGTATTTTTTTTATCTTTTGTACTTGATACTTAATTCCCTATGTTTTAGTATATTTTTATTTTCTATACACTGCATTTCCCAATTTTGAGAAAATCTTATTATGCTAGTGTATATTTTATATTAAAGTCTAATACATATTTCTAAAAATTGTCGTATTTTTAACATCAAACTAATATAAAAAACTAAATCAATAGCAAACTGATAAATAAACACGGCTAAACACTCACGTATATACGCCTGGTGGCGGCACCGACTAGTTTCGAGCCCATCGGGGCTCTTCATCAGGATGAGTGGTACTGGTATTATTTCGCAGACGCGGCCCGTCGCTCACTGCGCGCCTGCGCTCTTAGGGCGCCTCTTGAGGGGGCGGGGGGCGCGGGTTGCGCCGGCGTCGTCGACGATGTTGATACCAAAGCGTCGGTGGTGTTGTTGTTGAATTTTCCGGGGGCACAAAACGTACTGACTATGTCCACGATATCGTCGTCAGCACTGCCGATGTATCGCGCCGCGTTCATGAAGACGGGTTCCCATGTAGTAGTAGAAGAGTCCACCCCTTGTCTCTGTTGGAATTAGTATATTATTACTCCATAAAAACAAAATTTAGTTTAGAATTACAATATTTCAAACAATCAAACTTTGTAGCACAGATGTTGCAGCGACATGCAGTCAGTAATTCTGAGTAATTCCTTCATTTAATAATTCTGTAGACCTTGAAGAGGTGCATTTATTCATCTGCAACAGAATGAAATTGTAATTAATTGATTCAAGTGTACAACATAATCAATTTAATTATTGCTTTTCACCTAATTACATACCTTATTAAAAAAAAACTGGTTTTCTTTGATTATATGGATCTCTCCCCATTTACTTACAAAACTTCTTTGCAATTCTCTACAATGATGGAATTCACAAACCATGTAAAAAATTATGATTAGTTTTTACAGGTACAAATAGGAACTTTTATTGCCTGCCCATTTTTGTGAAATGTTTATGATAGAATCATGAATCAAATTAGTTTGAAAAACTTGTCATATTTACAGGTTGATCTACAATATTTGAAACAATAATAGAGATTCGACACACAACCTATCAAGCCAATTTAAGCGGTTAAAATTGTTCAAGTAATTGCTGGAAATGTGTGCTTACTTACTTAACATTTAGTTCTTTTAAATATGAATAGAATGAAAAATCTTCTTCTTCTTCTTCTTCTTCTTCTTCTTCTTCTTCTTCTTCTTCTTCTTCTTCTTCTTCTTCTTCTTCTTCTTCTTCTTCTTCTTCTTCTTCTTCTTCTTCTTCTTCTTCTTCTTCTTCT